AAGCTTCTCCCATGGGATTCTGGAGCAGTGAAGGTACTCAGTACCTCAAGCTTCTCCCATGGGATTCTGGAGCAGGTATTCTGGAGCAGTGAAGGTACTCATTCTGGAGCAGTGACGGTACTCAGTACCTCAAGCTTCTCCCATGGGATTCTGGAGCAGGGATCTTACCCAGTAGCCACATCTGTGGGATTTTGGGGCAGGGTAGTTTTCAGTTCTTCTTGTTTTCTCTGGTGGTATGAAACAGGCTTGATCCCAAGTACTTGCTTCTCATTGAATTCTATAGACGAGCACCTTATACCCATTTCCTGTGGGATTTTGGGCAGGGTACATCCCAATACTTCCTACTTGGGATTCTGGGGCAATACAGGTCCAGAGCACCTCATGTTAGTCTGAATGATCGTCCTGGGGAAGAAAAGGTCGACAATGGCTTATCTCTATATTCCATGGGAATTCTGTAGGCATATACTCAGAAGTAAACATAATGCAAGAATTACTTACTGTTTGGAGGATTGACAGTTTGAAGATGACATACAGATGTCCCTGTATCTTGCAATGATCGTATGTGTACATAACAGGGGACCCCTCTTGCCTAAAAGTTACATCTTCTCCCTTTACAAGTAATCTACGCTGGGTTTTACAAAATAGGCAAAATATGATTGACAGGCAACATTGACAAGGCGAAATATGATTGAAACAAAAATGAAAAAGAAAGTAACCAAACTTTAAATAACGAAGACTACAAACTTATGAATAAAAGCTCCTTGTTTATTGGCATAGAGCGATGTTTCGGTGTAGATTCTTACACTGTTTTTAGCTTGTTTACAGTGTAAGAATTTACATCAAAACATTGCTCCATACAATAAACAAGGAGGTTTTATTCATAACTTTGTGTACTTTATTATTTACTCACCAACTTCAAACAATTAACAAATTTTAAGTAAATTTAAATTAATTATTTTCTCTAATACCAGTATCTTCTTTGGAGGATCTTCTTGTCATTGTTTGTGAGGTGAGGTGAGGTGAAATTGGGTTTAACGTCATGCTTGAGAATATTTCGCTCATATGACGACATGCATGTGTGTGTATGTGTATGTGTGGCTGCTTGTACTATCCCAGACTTAAGCTGGTTTTATAGTGCTAGCCCACTGAGATACCATGCCGCAGTGAAGCATGAATACCCTTCTCAGACACATCATACTGACTCCGAGCCGACCAGTCCTTGTTGTACCCATTAATGCCAAGCACCAGGCAGGGACCAACAAGTACCATATTTTAACGTCTTTTGGTATGACGTGGTCGGGGATCGAACCCGCGACCTTCCGCTCTAAAAACTACACCATGGAGGCGGTCTGTCATTGTTTGTAACCAGATATAAGGATAAAATATGACTTATCTTAAAATTAAAATTTATTTTGCATTTGTGAAATTTTTAGTCTGTATATCTTAAGTTACTATACTAAAGAAATAACGGACATCTCTGGATGGGGAAGAGCGGTATTGATTGGTGGATTAGTCTAAGCCTTGGATATGCAGGAATTACTGCAGGGAAGAGGCGGGCAGGATATTTGTGCAAACGGTTCCTCAGCAAAACATTGTCTGTGTTTATGTTTGGATTAAACATTTTACTTTAGGGCCGAAAAAATATACTGAAACAGCTCCTTGACAGGATGATTACATATTTACCCACAATTCCTCAGCAAACCAGGGCCGAGTTACCCAACATTGTTGGCAAGGTACGATTAGTATAAATATGCCTTCTAATGCCGAGTGTGGTTTCTTGTTTACCTGTTTCACATTCTGGCAATGGGAAGTAAACCTCCTTTGAAATAATGTAACAGGTATCTCAAATCTGAGGCAGAAAATGTCAGTTTAAGATTTTGAAGGCAAGCAATTTGTAGATGTTATATTCTTGGTGAATATGACCCATGATTTCGCTCTGATATATTGATGCATTTGACGAAGCAATGAACAATTTTCAGTGTTTGGTTCTACATATTTGAAGCAATGGAACATATGTGTGATTTTGTGATATTCATTTCGTTCTGTTTGATGAATAGTGTCATTTTGCAAGTTATTTTTAGACTGTTGCAAAGTGTCCTATTTTTGGTCACAAATTTTCGCTTGAAGTGGTGTAGGAGCAGTAGGGAAGACTTTTTTTTAAAACGTTTGATTGTCATGCTGAAGACCTGGGTTGATTCCCTACATGGTTACAATGTATGAAGACCATTTCTTTTCAATATTGACACATTTCACAAGTGTAAAAAGGCTGTTATCGATCCCTTCTCTGCTGTGGTTGTCTGTAAAAAATCTTATGTGGACAAAATGCACTATCATGTTGGTGCACTTGTAAACATTACATCCAGATTGGTCTCGAACTTGGCCAGGTACTTATTGGAGAGACCGCCTCCGTGGTGTAGTTGTTAGAGCGTCTGCCCGGAGAGCGGAAGGTCGCGGTTTCGATCACCGACCGCGTCATACCAATAAACGTTAAAATATGGTACTTGTTGGTCCCTGCCTGGCGCTCGGCATTAATGGGTACAACAAGGACTGGTCGGCTCGGAGTCAGTATAATGTGTCTGAGAAGGGTATTCATGCTTCACTGCGGTGTGGTATCTCAGTGGGCTAGCACTATAAAACCAGCTTAAGTCTGGGCTAGTACAAGCAGCCGCCCATACACATACACATACACACACATGCACGTTGTCATATGAGCGAAATATTCTCAAGCACGATGTTAAACTCAATTTCACCTCACCTCACCTCACCTCACCTCACCTCACCTCACCTCACCTCACTTACTGGAGAAGGGGACTTATATGGTGAATATGCAATGTAGCAGATGTTTGTTGACTTTATCATTTGTCTTTGGCAATCCAGGCTTCCAGATTACGTTTGCATAAACAAAGTTTCCCTGTAAGTGGCCAGAAAGTGATATATATTTTTGTTGTTCTTCAAGGGTTGATATATCCTGGGGCGAAACCCAGTAACCTAGTTGAATACGGACCTGAGACGTGTAATTCTGTAGTCGTAGAGACATGATAAATAGGATCATGGTCCTAGACAAATTGCTGCATAGTTTCCGTATGTTCTCGTCCAGAGGTTTCCCCGTCTTCAGCTCCCTGTCTGGCAGTCGTGGGTCACCTCTTGTCAACATTCTTTATTTGACGTGTTCGGACTAAGCAAACGTTGGAGTTGTGGCAAACCTTTGTTGCCGAATCGTAGACTGCGCCAAGTCAACATTCTCGCCACTCGCTGGGGGCTTAGAGTAGCCGCCACTTAGAATAACACACAAGTGATGGTGGAAATACCCATAAAAACCTTTGACAATTTGGTAAATATTTTTCAAAGGAGCTATACGTTTATTTTTTTAAGTTTGCTGCCTCACACACACAAAATGTTTTGTTTTTTGTACATGATCGTACAGGCAGTTGGTTGTTGATGTTGGTGTCACTGATGCTTGGCTGAGTTATTAGATCAATTCAGTTTTGACTTCTGTGAGTGGAATTTAGAAGTGGGTGTGATCAACAATGGGGAGAGCTCTATGGATATACAATAATAGAGAAGTTTTATATCCATAGAACTCTCCCCATCGTTCAGTTCAGTTAGCAATTTTGCAATAGAGCAGAGGCCCAGATAAGCTGCGTATCCGGGTAAAATATGCACAGAAAATTTCCAATTACGCATTGAAAAATAATTGTTGCGTACCAATTATGCATTTAAAATGTTAGATACACAAAAAGATTAAAATAAATGCGTATGGAATATATTTATAAAAATCCCTTGCATAATGAAAAAGACATCGATTGCTATCAAGTTGTACTGTTAGTATAGGACTAGTGTTGTACTGTCATTATTGGATAAGTGATGTTTTTATGAAATCATTTCCATTATATTTAAGTTGGTTTTGATTAGGTATGACATAAGGCAGAACATTACCTGCTTAGTAAACTTACTCAATGACATATATACTTAGGTGAGTAAAATGACTGAAATACGCACATATTTGAAAGCAGTGGGTAACGGAAAATGAAATACCCACTCAACATTCATAATACCCACTCCCCAAAAATACAGTGGGTACAGTACCCACATGAGCTAAATCTTATCTGGAGCTCTGATAGAGTAACACATTGTTATTGTGTTAACATACATGACTTTCCAATACGACCTACCTACCCACACACCTACCTACCACCCAGAGACAATTTTGGGCAAAAAGCACCTACTATGTATATATATCAAACCATATTCGTCAGTCCCATGGAGTCCTTTTTGCCTGTCATTTACACAGTTGCCAGTATTAATGAGATAGGAACACCTTAATATGATGCAGCTGTTAGGTCCAACTGGGAGAGGAATCCAGTCACTACCATATCTGTGACGGTTGCATTAAAACAACATGAAGGTTCAAATTTCTCCTGTAAATGATGTTTTGTGACTAAAACACTCATCAAAGCCATTTTCATGCTTCGAAATGCGTTTTACTAAGTGCGATTTGATTGGTTTGCCTCGATTCTTGGCAATTATGGAGTTCTATAAAGGTCTTCTTGTAGGTCACGGAAAGAGGCGAGTAGTAATGAATGAGCCTGAAAATACTAGGTGTAAGGGAGACAACTCCTGTTTTGGGTTGCTCTTGAAACCAGTGTATGAAATAAGCCTAAAACCCAGCCAGACATCATGGCTGGAAACTTCAAAATGTTACCAGCCCAAAATGGATTCAACCAGACCAGACACCAAGATATGGTGAATTTACTCAGATGTATGGAATATCTAAATACATTTACCAGACCATCACTCAGGCTGGATAGCTGTAAATTTAGACGGTTTGTCAGAAATCTAGCCCGTCTCAGCAGTTGGACGGGACTTATTTCATACACTGCTTGAAACTTGGTAAAGTTGCTTGATGGTTGGAGTGTCCATTCATCACAGTTATACTCCCATTGAAAGCATTAAACCCAACTCACTCACTCACTCACTCACTGATGCCATTGTTGTTGCAGACACTGATGGAGAGCATCTCAGGGCTGCAGAAGGAGATGGCCAAGGAGCAGGAGAACTTCAACTCCCTCAGCGCAGAGCTCCAAAGTATGAAGAGCCGGAACTCCTCCCAGTACAAGTCCATCTCCAAGGAGATGGTGACATCACAGACGAGACTCACGCTGCTCATGAACAGAAGCATGAAATGCTTCGCACAGGTATTTATCAAACATTTTGTTTATCCTTTTGTTTGTTTTTCTCCTATTACCTTCTCATGTTTGTTACCATTTGAACTAATTTCATTTTTCTTAACTATTTAAAAATTCATCCACATTAATTTAACAACTAAACTTTTTTAAAACTTTTTTTAAATGTTTCTGGTTTAATTTATTGTTACTCTGCAAGACTTAATAAAAAAATTAAGCTTGAATTGTAAAAGTTTTTCTCAGTATATTTACTTATATGATTTATTAATGCCTTAATATTTTATACGATAGTTGCTATTATGTTATGGTTACCATGGTGATAAGATACCCATTTATGTCTATAAAACAGATGCGAGTTGCAGAGGTAGGATTCATACTGTTGGAATGGCTGCCTTTGCATGTGATTGTCCGGCATTTTCATCACAGCTGTTCTGTAAACTTGGGGATCAAACATCACTCTAGAAATAGTCAAAATCACAATTTTTTATTGATAAAGAAGATTAGTTTTATTGTAAAGTATCATTTCACCACCATCTTGCTTGAACTAGCCACTGTCATGTCCAGAACTTAGTTGTCACTGATAATAAATAAGATATTGGGGTAGTATGAGGTGAAAAATGTCTGTTTTGATGTCATTATCACAGCTCAAGTCCTGATTCCTTTCTGGGAACATATGCATGGGCAGATAACTCTAAACACACCTGCAACTAAGATCCAGGTAGACTGGTTCAGCACAGGTTCAGAGTTCAAATCTCCACAACCAAAGGAAATTATTGTTCATTTTGCCATTGCATCATTCAGAAATTTAAAAAAATAAAAAATCTCCTAAGGACATTTTTAACCTGGTAATGTTCACCACACTGATTCACAGTTTCACTGGGGTGGTGGGGTAGCCTAGTGGTTAAAGCATTTGCTCACCATGCCGAAGACCTGGGTTCAATTCCCTACATGGGTACAATGTGTGAAGCCCATTTCTGATGTCCCCTGCCGTGTTATTGCTGTAATATTGCTAAAAGTGGCGTAAAACTAAACTCACTCACACAATCACTCACTCACAGTTTCACTTGAATAGAAATCACATCATTACCTATCTAGAGGGTTAAAGGTTGAATGACTGAAATATGCTTCTCTCATCACGTTTAACGTAAACCCTGTCTGCAAGATGTCCTAATATTAACGACAATGCCTTCACTTGTCTTGTGGTTTATATTGTACAAATAACAATAATGTCAAATTCATGTTATACTGTTGGAAAGAAAAGATTTTTCAGTGAAATGCTTGTGTGCAAGGTGGTTTTGTTTTTTCTCGGAATGTTTCCGCTTTTCATCTTGTACTTCTTCTGAAATATACCACTGACTTAATCTTTGAACATAAACATTTTGCATGATCAATATTTCATTCTCTGAGTTTCTTGTTTGGCATGAAATGAGAGCCATATATGCTACTGCAGTGTTTCTACAAAATTATTGGTAAAATTTGTCGGAATTTCTTCAAGAAAGGTTTTGATCTGATGTAATGGGTTTTACTTATATTTTTACTATATTATTGTTTCATTATGTGATGAATATTACTGAAAACTCCACACAGAATGTGGCTATAATTCTGCACACAATGAGACTGCACGTTTCTACCAACTTACTCGTGCACGTTTCTACCAACTTACTTGTGCCCTGAATGGCAGTGTGTGGATTAGAGGTGCGCAGTGGCAGCCATGTTTAGACTAAAGTCTGTTACGAAGTTTGGATGGTCTTGTGAATAATACAAGTCATCAAGACCTGGATTCTCTACATGGGTTAACCAGCAGTGAAGCTCTGGGCCAGATTTGGGTTAGAACTGGTCTTCAACAACCAGTGCTTGTCGTAAGAGGTGGTTAACGGAATCCATGGTTATGTAGATCGATGCTCAGGAAGTCGGTCTAGAACTGGTCCAGACGTAATTATTTACAGAATACTAGGTTGTAGCTGAACATTGCTGAGCTGGAGTTAACCAATAAATAAACAACCAAAACATGGGTACAGTGTCAGGTGTGACCTTCTGGCGGTCAACGAACAGGATTTACCAGTTAAAAACTCCATCCACCATTTTGTCCAACAACTTCAAATTTGTCAGCCTATAATACTGGTGCTATCCACTGTATAGCAAAAGCCATTGGGGACTTATCTGAGTAAATGGCAACATGGATGTCAAGAAGTTCATGGATTGATTCACGTATATATTGGTATGTCTGCTCCAGAAGTATTACCCCTTGTAGGCAGTCACTGCTATTGTATCAATTATAGCTAAGATATTTTATCACTGGAGACGTCACTGATATGCCCCATGGTACCATAGAGGTAACCTGAAGGTTAAGACATAACTGTCTTTGCTAATCCACAGAAGTACAATTTATGAAGTCCCTTCATTGGTGTCATTAGCATTGAGATATCTGTAATATGTCTCGAGTTAAATCACTCACTCACTGACCTGTCCACTACTGTTGGCTACTCTGTACATAACACTGACTTACTTGCCATCTGATTCCATTGCATGTTGTGTCGGCATGGTACTTGAGTCTAATGGATACTACTTCCCTAACCCTAACTCTATATATTTACTTTTTGCAACTTTTCAAAAATATGTTCCACATATTTAAAGGCTAATTTCAATATGGATATGTATACGTTAACAATCTATTCAAATCTGGAAAAAAACCAGGCGTGTGATGTGTCATTTTGTTAAGCTTTGTGTAGTTTTGTTGATTTTCTTATGTGTGATTTTTTATCTATAACTTGAATATATTTAAGATACTGGAAAAGTACCTTTGTATTTTTTTATTATTGATGAACTGTGCTTTTGTCCTTAAGTTTAAGTGTAAATGTATGTCATTGACTTATGTTATTGAACTTCAGTGACCACTGCTATTTAGTTCCTCTTATAGAGGCCTGGTCTTTGATAATGTCACAGTGTGATGCTTTCATCATCATCATCATCATCACCATCACCATCACCATCACCATCACCATCACCATCCATCCATCCATCCATCCATTCATCCATTCATTCATTCATTCATTCATTCATTCATTCACTGAGGCCTGGGTCATGATCCACAAATTGATCAGTACACTATAATTGTTGTAATCTCATCTTAACGTATTGGAGTTACTATTATTCTAGTGCAAATGTCACACAGACTCACATCAAGGAGCCCATTTCTGGTGTTCCCCGCCGTGATATTGCTGGAATATTGCTACAAGCGGTGTAAAACTGAACTCACACACACATCAATGAAGTATGGAAGTTCTTGAGTGAGTGACAGAGCTCACTAATGTAGTGTTTAATGGAGGACGACACGCAGCTACCATCCTTTCCTTGATTCAAAGCTCCTGGACATTATTATCTCATTAAAATGAAATTGCAGAGAAATTTAGAATGATTTGAAGAGTAATATACTATTGTGTGTGTTTGTTCTGTGGATGGCAAATATATACTACTCACCTTTTGGGGGATGTATTTTTTTGTTGGTTTTGTCAAGAGTCTTGCTGGTAAAAGAAAAAAAAGTTTTTAAATGTAAGAAATAGTGACCTTTCTTTGAGAAGTGATTCACAGTGAAAGTAGAAGACTGACATGAACATAAAAAGAATAAATTGTGTGTGCTTCCATGAAATGGATAATCAGATGACCATTGTCAGGACTGAATACTTGGACCCAGTCTCAGATTCTACACAAGCCACACTTTTTAAAACTGTATAGTTTACAGACCTTTTGTAGACTATATACCCTGGTACATTATTAGATGACAATAGTTTTCAATCAGTTGTTCTAATTTTCTAAATGTACTTTTGGAATCTGGTCTGTAAACCAAAAGCTGAGAAAAGTGTGGCCAAGTTCCTCATGCACTTGCTTAGTCCTTGTATCCTTGTGTTTTGTGTCTTGTGTCGTGCTGTGACTTGCTAGAATTACAGATGGAATCTATAAGCATTCTGTCTGAACAAAAATTACTAAAATTATAGGCTTTCTGATTTTGATTGGACTTGTCAGTAAACATGATAACACAATGTGATTTTCTTGCCCAAGGTGAAAAATTTATGTCAAAGATTGTCAAAAGATTTATGAAAATAACAGCGTAAAGCCTTACACTGCATATATCTCAAATCACTCTAGTGTAGGAGACATATGCAGGAATAGAGGGATGTATCAAGCTCCTATATATATATATATATATATATACTTAAAGCCTTATTTGATGGTGAATATTCTGCAATCATATCGGTAAATAATATTAGACAATATATTGATGCTCAATGTTCAATGTCTTGTAATGTGTGTCCTGCTTTTTGCCTAACAGCAAAACTTACAGCAAGGAAAACAGCAGGGCCAGGTACAGCTCCGGAGACGAAATTCCGCAAAAGGGGACCAACCCTCCTCACCTACCAAATCCTCCACCTCCGTTCAGCGCAGCAAATCTGTGTATATTCCACCCCAGCCCGATCCAGACCCTCCTGCGACCCGAATCATAAAAGCTGGAAGCAGTGCACTGATTAACCAAAATCCTAAACCTTCAAAACCTTACACTCCCGTGATTCTCAATGGCACCTTGACAACCCGACCTCCCTCTGGTGCACGCGTACCTGCTGACAGGGTTAAAGGTCAGGTGCATATGGTTAATGCAATTAATAAACCAACTAGCAATGGTATACAAAAGCTTATCATGCAAGACAATACTCAGAATAACTTGGCGCCGGTCACTAATGGGTCTAATGGGGAGAAAGAAGCTTTGCAAATATTGCCCAGTGTCCGAATGTTGGCTAAGAATTTCACTGTGTCTGAGAAATCCATTGATTCAAATGTGGCTAAAAGTAACAAGCCAAAATTGGTGAAACTTAGATCAAGCGAATCTATGAGGATTGAGAGACCTGTTTCTGATGGATTAGTGTTTTCTCCCAAACAGAACAATGATGCAGTTATGAATGGTACACGAAGCGAGCAGACGTCATCTGGGAGACATGTCGTGTCAACTGTTCTCAAATTTGATCCGTCTCCAAGGTACAAATCCACTGACAACTTGTCACAATTTGGTATGACATCCCCTCGACCTAGAACCAACTCCATACCGAGGGTCATTACTGTTGCAAGCAGTGCAAGGGAGGTAACTCAAGCTAACAATGTCAGTTCCCCCACAAATAAAGTGACTTTGACAAGTAATGGTAAAACTTGGAACAGTACCCAAAAGGACAACCAGCAAACCACAGCAAATGTGAAAACAAACGAAAACAAAGTGGTAGTGAACAATTCTGTTAAGTCAAATAAAGTTGAGTATAACATGTTCCCTGGCAAAGGTGCCTTGATGCAGGAGATTGTGTCTCGGAGGAAGGACGGTGACACAGATACAACAAGGATTGAAGTCAATGAACATGTGTTGAAATCCAAACCAGTCGACACAGCAATGTCATCAAAGCAGACGACACCATCCACACAGCAGACGGCAACATCCAAGCAGCAGACGGCAATATCTGAACAGCAGAAGCCAGTCAGTAACTCTGTCACAACCAAAGTGTTCATATCGGCAGAGGATTGCAAAGCAGAGCCATCGCAAGTGCAAGGGATTACTGAGAACCGATTGGGAGGTAGGTGGCGATTTTGTTTCTTGATGCATCTAAACACTCATCTGATAACTGATGATTTTCAACAATGGTTACAATCCAACCAACTATTCCTCATGTCATAACTAATAAATGATGGCTAACATGACTTAACTCAGGTGGGTTTAATAACAGTATATTTAATGGTTGATAAATGAATAGTTGTTTTTCAATACAATGGTTGACATACTTATCCATAAGCTGACATTGTCACTCACTGGGTTTTCAAGTGACAAAATTCAGACCTGCCCTTGCAGCTGTTTACATTCCCGTTTACCCTGAAGTTATGAAGCAAGGGAGGTAACTCTTATGGGCTTATCGGGAAAACAGTCAGGGCTATTTCAACATCTTATGATCTGAAAATTACTTCAGGTCCTTGGTCTCCAAGTTGCTGATTGCCATGATATCTGGGAATAGTAAAACAGAAACATTCCCACAATGATACACTTTAATGGAATTCTTCATTGCTGTTGAATTGAAGCAGAGTTCACTTAACCACCTGAAACTAATTTGCTTTGGAAATGAATTTCAAAGTTGTTTCAGTCATAATAGTAGTATGTATAAATGCGAATTGTTATATGTAAATCCCATCAATAAATGTAGAAAGTTGTTTATTGAGTCCATTAGGGTCATGATTGTATGACCGCCTCCGTGGTGTAGTGGTTAGAGCGTCCGCCCGGAGAGCGGAAGGTCGTGGGTTCGATCCCCGACTGCGTCATACCAAAAGACCTTAAAATATGGTACTTGTTGGTCCCTGCCTGGCGCTCGGCATTATCTGGTCGGCTCGGAATCAGTATAATGTGTCTGAGTGGGGTATTCATGCTTCACTGCGGCATGGTATCTCAGTGGGCTAGCACTATGAAACCAGCTTAAGTCTGGGCTTGTACAAGCAGCCGCACTTACACATACACATACACACGCATGCACGTCGTCATATGAGCGAAATATTCTCAAGCACGATGTAAAACCCAATTTCACCTCACCTCCTGATTGTAAATGAATTGTCTATGTGAGAGAAGCATGTTCAGGGGAGGTAACTCTTGAAGGATTATTGCCAGTCTTTGGAATTCAAGAGCTTCATGGTGTCAATGTTTTGTGATATATGACCTGTTTTATTGGCAGGTAAGAATCAGGGGAGGTCCACAAAAACATCTCAAGACTCAATAAAACAATAACAGATCAGATTACTAAAGCAAAGACTGTTTCCTAGACTGGTTACATGTGGTGTGGCCACTGGTGGGACTGTCTGACAGATCGGTATAAAATGTGAAGTGTAACAAGCAACATGTCTCAGATAGGATCTGTCTGTTGTTGTACATATCTGAGAATGGTAACTTGATCATTGACACAAGGTTACTGATATGTTCAGTCATCAATCGTTGTCAGCAGTAATCCTTTTCATCATTATTATGAGTTCAAAAGTCTTTTTGTTTCATAATTGATACTTAAGCATAATAGAATTAAAAGATAGATTTTTAATCATAATAAATCAGTTTTTCAACACTAAACAAAAATATATCGTCAATTATTTAATTATAAGTTCAAAAGTAAGCAGTTATCCTTTTTTGTGATGACTAGAAGTCTTTGTGTTTGATACTTCAGCATATCAGAATTGAAAGAAAGACTTTAAATCATTTCTTTTCAGCAATCAGAACAGTTTTACAACACTAAACATAAATATTTCCTACATTTTTTAGTTTGCCATGTAACTGACAGTTTTGCTCATTCATCTTTTCATATCCTTGCCCTTGATGCCAGAGGAATGTTGTGTGGTGCACAGTTACTTCCCCTGATTGGACTCCTTGTCAAATGCATGGAACAATCAATCTATAAGTGGCAAAATCTGGAGAAGGCTACTTACTATTGACATTTCGCCAGTGATTATCATGTAGAGCTGATATTGATTACATGATCCAGCTATTATTATGATGTAGGGGGTCTTGTTATTGTCATCGTGTGACTGCCATTGTGGGGGACTGAAACCTACCTGGTCTCCTCTCTCTGGGGATATAGAGCAAGATAAAACTAATTTCCCGTCTGGGATCGAGAACATGGGTGCGAGGTTTCTGATGGTCGAGCTGATTATCGTTCTGTTGTTTACAGTCACAGCTTGTGTTGTGTAAACTGTGGTTGGTGGACGACAGTGTTGGACATACCTGGCTAAACACACTGATCAGATAGAACCACAAGCAATAGGACTAAATATTTGTCGTAATATAATGGCCTGCTGTGTATGTGTCAGTCATATTTACACAGAAAATAGTGGATGATTTTACTTAAAGTTTGCAAATAAAGACCAGCCTTTGATCTGATGATAATCGATATTGGGCACAAATAGAATATGATTCCTTTTATCTGTTTACATCCATATTAATCCAGACAGTCTTATGATCCCAATATTGTCATCATGAGGGCATCCAGGGTGAAGATATTTGGTGCCCTTTCCGCCATTTGTAGACTAATCAACAGAGTGTTACCTTCATTTACGATAGTGAGGGTCCAGGGGCCCTCCATCAATTTTATGGGTCTGTGCAGGTAGTATGAGGTCCTGTAAAGTACAGACATGGTGTAGTGTACTGTATGTTCAGATAATTACTTCAGAGCTGGGATGAATCAGTGGCCATGTGGACAGTGGTCATGACGGCTGAGTGAAATAACAAATATAGATAACTACTCTTGATGTGGTTTTGGTATATTCTCGGTATTTTTGTGCATCTCTCCACACAGGGTGTTTTGGGTACCCGTGATGGTCCGGGTTAGAATATTGATCTTCAGTAACCCATGCTTGTCGTAAGAGGCGACTAACTGGATCAGGTGGTCAGGCTCGCTGACTTGGTTGACACATGTCATCGGTTCCCAACTACGTTGATCGATGCTCATGCATCACTGAATTGTCTGGTCCAGACTCGATTATTTACAGACCGCCGCCATATAGCTGGAATATTGCTGAGTGCGGCGTAAATCTAAACTCACACACTCATGGTATTTTGGATTTTCTGTGTCCATTCTCTACGTTTGTGCACTGCACAAAACCCTGAATCAACCTTTGTACATTTTCTCAATTCATGAACTTGCAACCTTAAAGAATAGGCTAAAAGAGCATCTTTTGACATGACATTTCTTAGAATAAAAGCTCTTTTGAGCAGATCTTTTGTTTGTTTAGTTATGTATTCATGGGGACATACATGATCAAAATGCTTTATTTAGATTTATTATATTAGAATTTTAATGTACAATAGTACCATTCGGGGCAGATCAGCGGTTTCTCCGAATGTTTTGTTTATTCATGTTCAAATATTTTTGTTGGGGATTTTGGGATTACTTGATATCGGAATGATATCTCCTCAGGGATTATTTTGGAATGATACGTGATTTCCTGAGTGGTGTATATTGATAGTAAACCTAAAACACACAGCTGTGTAAATCCTAGGGGAAATGAGTCAGATTGTTTATATACAAGATGTGCTTTTGCCATGGAAACCAGCCTGTGTGTCTCCAACAACCTCGGGGCAGGTACCTGGATTAGATGTGTTCCAGAACAGTGTTCACGGTCTAGGGTCAGCTGGGTGCCCATTAAACCAGCTTACTGGACAGTTTGGCTTTGTCGTGTGTACTGAGACATTTTGTCCGAAGGTTGAGCATGATAACAGCTTGGTATGTGGACTTTGTGTCGATATATCGGAGACCAGGCTAGTTGCTCAGCTTCTCAATGAAACTATTTAGATGTGTGTACCTGGCTGTACATGATCTCAGACAAAACGTATTTGATAGACAGTCATTTCTTGACGTTTTCCTTGTTTCTATGACAACTGGTGTTTTGTGCAGTGTGTCTTTAGTATCTACTCCTTGTATTTGGTAAAAGGTCTTTTCTTGAAGCCCACTTTGACTGAGACATCTGTGATTCTGTAGCTGAGTGAAAACAAAAAGTTATGGGAATAACCCCGTATCTGACCTGCCTACTCTTTTTGAAATCGAAAATATACTCATGGAAACAAATAAGGGAACACATGAAGTTACAAGTGTTCCTTTATTCTTTTCCAGGTTTTTTCACAAGGTATGTAGTGCAATGTGAGTGAAATTCTGGAAATAAATAAAGGAACATTTGTACTTTCCTGGTTCCCTTATTTGTTACTATGAGTATATGTTTTGGGGGGCCTTAACAGCTGTCATTTTACTCTGGACTTACAATCAGCCTGCCGCAGACCCTGACCAACATTCTTATAAGAACAGTGATATATACTCGCTTCTATGTTCATCTATAATCCCAACAGGATGGTAAACAAAATAGACAGTCACCATCATGAAAACACATGACACAACAGATGAAAACTGATTTGTTTCTCTTCATTATGAATACATGGCAGCTCATGCCATATCAAACACTGCCACACTGAAATATTTCCAATAATTTCCCGTCTTAATGGCTCCCAAGCAGGAACTCCGGCAACCAGATGCCATGCTTGATGGTGTGTACAAGACAGTTAGAGAAGCTGTGAGCCTCTAATTCAATAATACACCAGCAGATGAGCGTTCCTGCGTACAGTCGACTGGCCGGCCTGTAATTACCACTGAAGGACAAGACAGGGTAGTTATACATGCATGCTGGCTGATTACTGGATGCCTCTGCTGCGTTGTTACAGACGATAATGAAGAATAATAGAATCCCTTTGATGTGGAAGTTTGCATGGATGGTAGCTTTTCAGGATTTTTATAATATTGAAGTTTCATGTTTAACCCTTTAGTTTTGAAATGCTCTGAATTTCTTGATGATCGCTTTTTTGTGTTTTTGCTCTATACATTCTTGAATCAGACACAGATGAAAGCTGAATACTTGTTTGTGCAAGGGTGAATGAAAATCTGCTCTTTGTAATTTTTCACTTACAAGAAGAAAAAGAGGGATCAAGAATATTTGGGTGATATGTGAAGACTTCGCACACAATGTTATAAAACAATTTGGAAATGTCCGTGACCACTAATATTTTGGT